GGGCCAGTTTTGAACCAGCCGCCTCCAGTATATGGGGCCAGCGCCCTACTCCTTTTGAGCCACAGGTGCCACCCATGAATATTGCTCTTTGATTAGCTAGAGTTACATTTCTTAATTAGGGCAGCAACATTGTTTTTGCCTAATCTCAACATATATACCAGACTCAGTCTGCATCTTCACCAAAAATGCACTATTAAGAACTATTGGCTCAGCTCCTGTAGCTCAGTGAGTAGGGCACTGGCCACATATACAGGCTGGCCTGCCGAACAACAAGGACAGCTGTAACCAAAAAGTAGCCAGGCACTGTGGCAGGCACCTGTTCTCCCAGCTACTTGGGAGGCTGAGGCAAGAGAATCATTTAAGCCCACGAGTTAGAGGTTGCTGTGAGCTACGATGCCACAGCACTCTACCAAGGGTGACATAATGAGACTCTCTCTCTCAAAAAAAAAAAAGAACTATTAGGGTCTGTCAATAGTCAGAGTTCTACTATTCAAAGAACTAAAGAGTATTCTCACCTTTCTTACCAGAGGTCTCCCCTTGCATTTGAAAGAATGATAGGTGAATGTGTCATTAATATACCAACAAAAATCCTGCTGAGATTTGGGTAAAATTAATTTATAGGCCAATATAAATTTAGCAAAATTCAACAAGTGTATGTTGAGCATATTGAACAAATAGAATCCAAATTTACAGTCTGCATGCTGGACTATAAAAAACAAATTATTATACCTGAGAAACACCTGAACCGTTCTCCACACCCCTCCTCCGCTGGACATCCTCTCGTAGGTTCACAGGACTGTGTTTCAAAAGCACTTCCAGGGCAAGGCCGGCCTCCGTACTGCCCATACACTGAGACTGACCGCCTGCGAGTCTAAACACAAGGCAGGTGGTGATTTTTTTTTTAACATATCTCCAGTTTTCTTTATCTGACCAATAAAATGTGAGAGAAATTAATACAATTAGAGAAACCATGTCTGGGAAATTGTTTGGGGATTCTACAGAAGTAAAACCTCAAAATCAACAATGCTCACAGACCCACTTGCCTTTGAGTTCAGTGTCACTTGGATTATTATTTATAAGGAGCTTCCAGTTAAGTATTTATTTTCAGCGTTCAATGCAAAAAATATTTTTTTTTAGTGAGTCTAAGAAAGTAACCTGCAAGAGGCACACTTAGCTGGGCAGACACATGAGCAAATAGAATACAACATAGAATTAGTGTTTTTGCCAGCGCTGTGTACCAAGAGCTAATTAGGACAGGAGAACTGAATTGGGCAGGAGAGAGGGTATGTGTCCTGGAAAGGGGTGTTAAGATGAAGCAGAGTTAGGGTAACCTTTAGAAAAGTGGTGGCAATTGAGGTGAGCTGAACCTTCATTCTTTTTCAGGAAGAAAGGCAAATAAAAACAATTGAGAGAGAAATACATAATATGGAGGTCAAATTTACAAAACAGTAGCCTAAAAGCAAAGTTACGGTGGAATTTTAATAGACAATACAAACCATTGACCTCTGAAGTGAAAAATACTCAAAAAGCAAGGATCTTGGGGAAAAAGAACAGTACAGAAAAATCGTGGAAATCATCACACTAAATAAGAAACTTATAATTAATTTATAAGTTTATTTAATCTTCATTCAGTATGAAGCCACATATATAAAGTCTGAACAAAAAGAAATACCTATAAAATCATTTTCCTCCCCACTGGCAATCAAAGGAGCATCCTCTAGGTGCATGAAGACAGGATAGGAACTTTTTTTTTTTTTAGACAGAGTCTCAAGCTGTCACCCTGGGTAGAGTGTGGTGCTGTCATAGCTCACAGCAACCTCAAACTCTTGGGCTTAAGCAATTCTCTTGACTCAGCCTCCCAAGGAGCTGGGACTACAGGTGCCAGCCACAATGCCCGACTATTTTTTGGTTGTAGCTGTCATTGTTGTTTGGCTGGCCCGGGCAGGATTTGAACCCACCAGCTCTGATGTATGTGGCTGGCACCCTTGCTGACTGAGATACAGGTGCCAAGCCTGGACAACATTTTTTATGCAAACAATGTGATCTCAGCTTTGGAATCTCAGAAAAGAACACATTGATAAGCTACAGACAAGAGCTGTTTTCATCAACTAAAAATGTATTAAGAAATTTTACTGGGGTCCGTGCACTCTGATTCGTCTGTAGCTCTTCTGCTGAGACACAATCAAAGGCACCAGAGTCAGGCTCCAGCTGATCCCAGTCTGCCCAGAGTTCAAACTCTCATTGTGACCCCTCATCCCAAGGAACCTACAAGATCATTTTCCTCCCCACTGGCAATCAAAGGGCACGTACTAGGTTCCTTCTATTGTCATCTCTTCTCCATTTTAATTAAAACAAACCTGGTCTGAGTTTCCTAATGATTTAAACCTTGAGCAAAAATCAACAGAGAAGAGTCAGTGTACGCATCAATGTTAAATTTATTCATTCATCCTAAGTTGGGTTAGGAGTGGGGATGCCTTGGGAGAAGGGGTCACAGTGATATAATTTGAACAATGGGCAGCCTTGGCATCAGCTGGAGTCTGACTTTGGTGCCTTTGATGTGGCTACGCAGAGGAGCCACAGAGGAATGTGAGTGGGGAAATGGAACTCAGTAAAGTTCCTTAATATGTTTTTCATTTTGGTTTTTACTTAATGAAGTGTGTGTAGCTTGTCGATGTGTTCTTTCCTGAGGTTCCAAAGCATAGATCATGTTGTTTGGGTAAGGAATGTCCTCCTAGCTGGGCATACTAACTTACACCTCTAATCTTAGCACTTTGGGAGGCTGAAGCAGGTGTATTGCTCAAGCTCAGGAATTCGAAAACAGCCTGAGCAAGAGCAAGACCTTGTCTCTACTAAAAAGAAAAAAATGTAGCCAGGCATTATGGCATGGGTATTTGGGGAGCTGATGCAAGAGAATCACTTGAGCCCAAGAATTTAAGGTTGCTGTGAGTTACGATGATGCCACAGCACTCTCCACAGGGCAACAGAGTGAGACTCTGTCTCAAAAAAAAAGAAAGAAAGAAAGAAAAAGGAATGTCCTCCCTCTCCACATCACCAGGGTGCCCTTCATGGCTGCCCACTCTCAGCAGTCTCATTCTCACTGGCCAAATTCCGATCTTATGACCCTTTTTCATTTTCACTTGTCTCTTTCAAAATGAAAAGTTTGTTTTTATAACCTAGAGATATAGCCTTTGCATAATGATCTCCACTCTATGAAAAAAATTGCTTATATGAAAAATATTCATCTACTTCTACTTAGTGTTCTTTCTTGTTTCTAAATTATAAAAATGTTTTCTATATTTGGTGTTTCTTTGACTTTTCCTTTGTTATTCACATACCTATTTGTCTGTAATCAGAGTTGTCATCTATTAAATTTGCTAGAAGACAAATTCTTCATTTGTGTGACTTGTTACAAAATACCTTTCATGTAAGTACTAAATAAACGCTTGAAGAAAATGACAATAATAGTGATGCTTAATGCTTCAAAACAGAAATTATCTTTCTATTTTAATGCTTATTTTAATATTTTAACAATTAAAAATGATTTTTAAGTACTTGAACATATTTTTATCCAAACTGAACTGCTTTAAAAATATTTAACTATTCAAGTGTGTAGAACCTTTAAAACACATACTTCAATTTATCCTCAGAAACCGATGGCAAAAGAGGACTACATACAAAATGTACATTAAAATTTTATTTTTACTAGCAAAAAATGGAAACAACTTAATATCAAACAGTAAAAAAGTGGGTAGATAAGATAGGTATATGTATATAATGGAACGCAATAGGCTGTTATAAGTAATTATGCTGATAGTACACTGTTAGGTTAAAATAGTAAAATATAAAACTGTGATCAAATAATCTTATTTTTAAAAATTATAAGCACAGGGGTGGTGCCTGTGGCTCAAGGGAGTAGAGCACCAGCCCCATATGCCAGAGGTGGCAGGTTCAAACACAGCCCCGGCCAAAACTGCAAAAAAAAAAAAAAAATTATAAGCACATAGAAAATAAGCTGAAAATATATGTATTTGTTTCTCCTAAATGATAAAGTATTTTAATCAATGAACATAGTATAGTAAAGAAAAAAACCCTGGGCGGCACCTGTGGCTCAGAGGAGTAGGGTGCCAGCCCCATATGCCGGAGGTGGCAGGATCAAACCCAGCCCCAGCCACAAACTGCAAAAAAAAAAAAAAAAAAGACATTTTTAGAAGTACTCTATAATATATAGGTCAAGTCTAGCATTTATTTGTATTAATTAAGAATTTAAGGCTCAGCTCCCGTAGCTCAGTGAGTAGGACACCAACCATATACACCAAAGTTGGTAGGTTTGAGCCTGGCCTGGGCCTGCTAAACAACAATGACAACTCCAACCAAAAAATAGCCAGGCATTGTGGCGGGTGCCTGTAGGCCCAACTACTAGGGAGGCTGAGGCAAGAGAATCACTTAAACCCAAGATTTTGAGGTTGCTGTGAGTTGTGACGCCACAGCACTCTACTGAGGGTAACATGATGAGACTCTGTCTCAAAAAAAAAAAAAAGAATTAAACTTTAAAATATTGTAAAAATAAAATTATTTTTCAAACCATTTTGTGAAGAAAAACCAAGCAATCATTTTGCTATTTTGTTAACAAAATGATTGAAATGAGAAGAAAAGTAGATATGAAACAAATTAGTGAATTTGTGAATATGAAACAAATTTTAAATTATCTACAAAGCTCATTTCATGTTATTTCTGTTCTTCTAATAGTTAAAGAGTTAGTGAATTGCCCTTAACTTGTAGCCTATGTATACATAGTTCTAGCTCTACAGCAAGATCTAGAAAAGTCTTTCATGAAAATGAATGTGGAAATTACTTTATTACAATATTGATTATTAAGCAAATCGTATTTTTCTCCCATCAAAGTTACTAACACATTTCAAGAATCATTAACTAGTGAACATTCAAAAATTAATACCATTTTAGCCATACCTATGCTATTTCTGCAAATACATGATCAAATACAAAGTTTTGTTGGGTCCTACCTGAGTCTTGGTACAGCCATTGCATTCTGACCAAGGGGCATAGGAGTCCCACTGACAATTGACCGGAGAGGTAGCACTGTTCCATCATAAATCAGGAAGAAATATGGTGGGAGGAAAAAAGAATGGTGAAAATAGTCAAAGATTGTAAAAAAAACTACTTGAATATTTTTTTTCTTAAGAGATACTAAAAGTATCCCAAAATATATAAAAATGATAGGTAGAGAGCCACCTTTTAGAAGTTAACATTATTTTTTTAAAAGAAATTAACATTATTAAGCATGCATCATGTACCAGGTACTATTAAAACACTAAACTTGTAGAAATAATAAGAGAGAAAGATAGATCATTAACTACTGATAGAAAGGCAGAGACACAGACGTCTAAACAAATAATAATAATACAATATATCTACTTTGATAAAATTCATAACAGGAATGTGTGCAGGATAAAGTGTTATGGAAATAGAAATAAGGAAGCGTTCAGAGTTGCAAGGGTGAGGACATATAGGTGGATGGTCTGCCCTCTCTTGTAGGGATTCTGGATGATGAATTGAACAGTTACCCAGAAACTGAGAGACAAGAAGCTCTATAAGACCCTAAGAGAAGTAGGAATGCATTTAATTGTCCCCCTGTTCATCAGGCCACTTCTCAAGCACACACTCAAGTGGGGCAATTTGAGATTAAACAGTCCCACTCAAATAAAATACATACTGTCAGCATCTATTTGAGTGAGATGGAAAGAAAGAGAAGAGGAAGGGAGGGAGGGAAGAAAGGAGGAAGGAAAGGAGCGAGAAGGGAGGGAAAGAAGGAAAGAAAGAAATGTGGAAATGACAAGTTGACTCTGACTCAATGTTCAACTGTGGCCAAGTCACATGGAGGAGGTCACATGGTTAATTTTAAGAGATTAAAGAATCCTTGCCTAAAACAAAACAACTTTCTACAAGGAATAGAGGAACCAAGACTCTTGATTTCTGGATTCTCAGCACAGCTGTGGGCTGGGAGTCGTCAAGTCAAGATGATTCTTGCATATCTTAAGACTGTCAGGTTACTCTGAAAGTAATGAATCCCATTCAGAGTGCGTCCTCTGCTTTTGTAGAAATGACCATGATAAATTGCTTTTATTTATTTATTTATTTATTTATTTTGAGACAGAGTCTCACTTTGTCATCCTCTGTAGAATGCTGTGGCATCAGCTCACAGCAAACTCAAACTCCTGGGCTTAAGTGATTCTCTTGCCTCAGCCTCCCAAGTAGCTGGGACTACAGGCGCTCACCACAAGGCCTGGCTATTTTTTTGTTGCAGTTGTCATTGTTTAGCTGGTCCAGGCCTGGCTCGAACCTGCCAGCCTCGGTACATGTGGCTGGTGCCGTAACCACTGTGCTACAGGCGCCGAGCCTGATAAATTGTTTTCATATGCCACCAGTGATCCAAATACCTGAGTATTTTTGACCCTTGGATAATCTATGTCTACTGTTCTTTGTGTAGTTTGTGTCCCAGAGAAAAACAGAAGCACTGCATAAACACTGAGGCTTAGGAGAGGAAGCTTGCTTGGCTTTCCCTCCCCTGCGTTCCCACAACACCCTGAGCAGCCTCTCTCAGAGACCTGAGTGCATTTGTATTGAACTATCTCAAGATGTGAATCACCAGGCAGACTCCTGGGGTCATCCTGCTGTCCTTGGTATTCCTGGTAGCTCGCACACCCTTGACACGTATTCTGATAGTTCCATAAAGTGAACTGACCTGGCTCTGCCTATCAGTCTGACCATGAAAGCACAGTAAGGTTATGGGTAAATGATGCTGGATTTTTTTTTTTCCAGGCCTCAAGGGCCAGTAAAACTATTTTCTTTAAAACTCTCAACCTTTAAAATCTAGAGAATGGGCTCAGCGCCCGTAGCACAGTGGTTACGGAACCAGCTACATACACCCAGGCGGGTTCAAACCCAGCCCAGGCCAGCTAAATAACAATGACAACTGCAACAAAAAATAGCTGGGTGTTGTGGCGGGTGCCTATAGTTCCAGCTACTTGGCGCTGAGGCAAGAGAATTGCTTAAGCCCAGGAGCTTGAGGTTGCTGTGAGCTGTGATGCGACAGCACTCTACTGAGGGCAACATAGTAAGACTCTGTCTCAAAAATAAATAAATAAATAAAAATAAAATCTAGAGAATGCTTTACAAGGATTACATTTAAAGCTCAAATAGTGCTCTAAGATGTATAACTCTGTCATGATTCTCTGAATTACAGGCAAAACTATGGTACTGGGACAAAATCCTTGAGATATTTTTAGTCTTCAAGTTTCTTCCTTACAAGGAAAAAAAGGAGTCAAATAATAATAATAATAAAACACACCTTTGTTATCATTGACTTTTCTAAAAATAAGAAGAGAGAAAACGTGTTGGAGGGATAAACTCACTCAAGCTGCATTGAAAAAATCTGACCATACTAAAAAGATTTTTAAAAATCAAAAAATAATCATAACCATTTCCACACATAGTCAAAAAAATTCTCACCTTGAAAGCATTTGATAGTCTCCCATAAATCCCACCAAAACGAATAAGGTTATTGCCTAGAAAAGATAAACAATAAAGAGCATTATTTTATCTTTTTTTTTTTTAGAGAGACAGAGCCTTGCTTTATAGCCTAGGCTGGAGTGTAGTAGCACAATCATATCACTGCTGCCTGAACTCCTAGGCTCAAGTATTCCTCTTGCCTCAGCTTCCTGAGTAGCTGGGACTTAAGGTACATGCCACTATGCCTGGCTAATTATTTATTTTTTGTAGAGATAGGGCCTCCCTTTGTTGCTCAGGCTGGTCTTGAACTCCTGGCCTCAAGTGATTCTCCTGCCTCAGCTTCTCGAAATACTGGAACTACAGGCATTGATCCACCATGCTTGGTCTTGCATTTCTTTATTATAATTATAAAATGGCAATTTATAATTGTATAAATTTATGTTGTTGTAAGTGATATTATGATTTATGAATACAATGTAAATAATTAAATTAAGCTAGTTAACATATCCCTCACCTCAATTATTTATATTTTTTGTGGTGAGGAAATTTGAAATTTAGTATTTTAGCAATTATGAGGTGTAGTTAATTCTACATTCTACCAATAGAACTCAAAAACAGAACAAAACTTATTTCTCCTAGTGGAGATTTTGAACCCTTTCTCTCCATTCCCCCCACTCCCAGCCTCTGTAATAACCATTCTAATCTTTGCTTCTGTGAGCCTGATGGTTTTAGATTCCACAGACAGGTGACAACACTCAGTATTTGTCTTTTTGTGTCTGGTTTAATTCATTTACCATAGTATTCTCCACCCCATCCATGTTGTCATAAATGACAGAATTTCCTCCTTTCGTAAGGCCGAACAGTGTTCTACTGTGTATAAATACCACATTTTCTTTATCTAGTCATGTGCTGATGGACATACAGGTTGATTCCATAACTTGGTGACCTAGAATAGTGCTGCAATAAACATGGGAATGTAGGTGTCTGTTCAACAAACTGACTGCAAATCTTTTGAGGAAATATCCCAAAATGGGATTGCTAGATCACATGGTAATTCTATTTTTAGGTTTTTTTTGAGGAAACTGTACAGTTTCTATAATAGTTATAGTAGTTTACGTTCCCACCAACAGTGTATGAGGGTTCCATTTTCTCCACATCCACATTGACATCGACATTTGTTACCTTTCCTCTTTTTGATGATAGCCATTCTGACAGGTATGAGATAATTGTAATTTGTATTTCCCTAATGATTAGCAGCATTGAGCACTTTTAATATATCAGCTAGTCATTTGTATGTCTTCTCTTGAAAAATGTCCATATAGGTCCCTTGCCCATTGTTTAACTGGGTTTTTTGTTTTCTTGTCATTGAATTCTTCACACTCCTTGTCTATTTTGGATGTTAACCCCTTATCAAATATATGGCTTACAAACATTTTCTCCCAATCTGTAGTCTCTGCAGAGTTTCTTGTTCCTTTTGCTGTGCAGAAGCTTTTTAGTTTGTTGTAAACTATCTAACCAGGCCAATGTCAGGTAATTTTTCCCTTAGGTTTTCTTGAAGTAGTTTTACTATTTCTATTCTGGTCTTGAGTTTATGTCTTTAATTCATTTTGAATTGCATTTTGTAGATTGTGTGAGAAAAGGGTCCAATTTTATCCTTCTGTATGTGAATATCCATTTGTCCCAACACCATTTATTAAAGGGATTATCCTTTTCCCATTGTGTCTTGGCACCTTTGCCGAAAATCAACTGACCACCCATGTATGGGTTCGTTTCTCGACCCTTTATTCTATTGCATTGGTCAACGTGACTATTTTATTTTTTTGCTAGTATCACATCATTTTAAGTACTGGTTTGGTTTTACTTTTTTTCTTTTTTTTTTTTTCTTTTTATTGAGACAGTTTCACTTTGTCACCCTGGGTAGAGTCCTGTAGCATCATAGCTCACAGCAACCTCAAACTCTTGGGTCAAGCAATCCTCTTGTCTCAGCTTCCTGAGTAGCTGAGATTACAGGCTCCTGACACTATGCCTGGCTAGTTTTTCTATTTTTAGTACAGAGAGGATCTTGCTTAGCTCAGGCTTGTCTCAAACCCCTGAGCTCAGGCAATCCACCTGCCTGGGCCTCCCAGAGTACTAGGATTATGAGACTGAGCCACTGTGCCTGGCCTAATTACTACATTTTTTTTTAATTAAAGTATGATATAATTCTGTTGACCCCTATCTCCTCCTGTTCATTTCTATAAAGACAAAGAGAGGTTAGGTAATGCCACAGACAAACAAATTGAAAATACTCAGTATAATTAAATGACCTCAAGCATTTCCTTAGGGTCCTAGCACCTTTAATCCCTTTCTCCACTCCCTTCTCTCTAACATCACCACCCAGAAAGACATCGCTGGAGAGAAAGCCTGAGGACAAAATAGTAGTTGTGCTAATGGCTGAGGAGTGGAAAGAGAAAATGAGTTTTGTAAATGAGCATCAAAGGTGGAGGTGCAGCCGTGAGCAGGGCTGGTGACTCTCATTACAATCCTTAGGACTGTGGGTGGTTTCTTCAGTGTTTGAAACACTCCTGGGGTCTTTTATAATCATCTTTACATGATAGCACAAGCCTCAATACTGAGGATCTGAGAGGTCACAAATTGTATGTAAAATGTGATTATATTTTGTTTGAAGAAATCAAATGTGTATTGAAAAACAAATCTAGAAAGAAATATAACAAAGAAGAGTAGTTTATTTCTGATTGTGAAAATATAGGTGATTTCTGTTATTTTTACTTACATGTTATTTCTACTTTGACAACTGAAGGAGAGGATACAATTCAAATCTTTACTGATGATCCTCTCAGATTATCAAGTATATGCAATTTATAATCAGTATAAAAGACCTTAAACTAACCCCGATTTTAATGGGCCAGTATTTTCTCTGCTCCCTGAGCTCCCCAAACCTCTTTTCCCTTAATGTACCTATGTGTCTTCTCAACATTTCCTTCCAGATCCTTCTACTAACCTTCTTAGATCACTCATCTCTTATTAAGTGTTTTCCTTTTAGGGGTAAAATTCTAGTTGCCTACTTCTGGCTTTTGTAGTTCTACAAATCTTCAAACCTATTATCCTAATTAGCATATACAGAGAGATGGAAAGGTACCAAGAAGCTGGAAAAGAATGAACAATGGTGAGGGAAAGCTATGAATGAATCCTTTCTGATTTTAACAAATATGTGAGGTACATAATTTTTAGGATTTTCTTATTTTAAATTATAATCTAAGTGGGGGGGATTTTGTTTGTTTTGTTTTGTTTTTTACTTTTACTTTTTTTCTTTTTTTTTTTTTTGGCAGTTTTTGGCCAGTGCTGGGTTTGAACCCACCACCTCTGGTATATGGAGCCAGCACCTTACTCCTTTGAGCCACAGGCACCATCCATTTTTTACCTTTTCAATAATGTGTCTCTCCTCCATGCTTTGTCAACTCCTTTTTTTCTGACCCTTGGAAAACTACCTCATAGCTTTATTAGGTACTCTTCAGCATTAACAAATAGTCGTGTTTTCACAAAAATTCTAGAACAATCTAACATTCAAACTTCAATATGCCATTCAATTTTAAATTTTTTTCCTACTCACAGTTTCTGGTGCTTATAATGGGAAGGGATGGGGTGCATTTCAAAACTCCCCAACTTAGGCTGGGAATGCACAGTGGCCTACAAGTGTAATCCTAACACTCTGGAAGGTCGACGTGGGAGGATCCCTTGTGAACAGCCTGAGCAAGAGTGAGACACCATCTCTACTGAAAACAGAAAAACTAGCTGGGAGTTGTGGTGGGTGCCTGTAGTCCCAGCTACCCAGAACACTGAGGCAGGAGGACTGCTTGGACCCAGGAGTCTGAGTTGCTGTGAGCTAGGCTGATGCCACTATACTCTAGCCTGGGCAACAGAGTGAGACTCTGTCACAAAAACAATAAGATTCCTCCAACTTAACTCCTCTTCCCTCATCTCCTCAAGCTGCCTCAGTCTCCTTCAACGTCAGAGCAGGAAGCAAGACAGGGGCAAAAGTGAAAAAGAACTTTGCTTAACTGATCCAGTTGGAGTCTGGCGATGGAAGACCAGGGTGATAGCACAGCCTCACAAGGTGTTTGAATGCTGATTATTTATGTCTCAAGAATCTTCATGGTTCTTTTGATGTCTCTCCACTGGGGATCAATAACTAATGTTCTCTGGAGCAAATGATTCACCCCTTTGTTCCTCACTTTTGATTCCACCAGAGCCTGCTTCCTGAGAGTGTTTTACAAACTGATGCTACTTGTTGGGGTTGCTTTATACTGCAGGCAGGCAGAGTTTCATGTAGAATCCCTGACAACTCAGGTCTGGCTCCCTTCCAAAGACCCACTCCGGGTCGGTGGGATGCCTTCACTCATCCTCAACCTGCCCAAGTCTGATTGTCCAGGCTGTAACAGACACAGCTCAGGTGATTTATTCTGCTAGAGGCAAACCTGTGCCTTTAAGTTTTCTCAAATATGCAAGAGCTCTCATTCTCTATATTCCCCATACTTCAAGGGACACAATCTCACATCATCTTGAGAATGAAGATGGCCTAAAATTTAGGGGTGTTGCATACTTAACTGTTCTTGGCCTTTGACTCTCACCCAAAATGGGCAGCAGAAAAAAAAATTATTTCTAACGTCCTGTCACATGTATTTTTAAAGAATTAACCAAATTTTGAAGGACATACAATTTATCATGGACATCTTGGCCACCACCTTCCCCATATGCATGCTATTTATTATAAGCATAAGTTCTGCTTATTCAAGGCCAGTTCTGTCCATGAGTTAAATAAGGTAAATATACTAATCAAAGCATATTTTGAAACTTTGCCATCTGGGCCCCTATAAAAAAAAAAACCATGTCTTTGAGAAAAGTATCTTATCAAATGGACAAGAGAGAACAATCACAAATGACGTGAGCCATCACATGAATGACAGATACAGACACACATCTGAACTGACTCTGGGAAAGAACTGCTTAGTTGAGAGGATAACATGTATTTGTACTGTGTCAAAGTAGCTGAGCTGAAATTACATTTTCCTGAATTCTCTTCTCTTTCTTCTCCTCAGTGAATGAGCATGAGCTCTACCTCCTCCTTCTAATATGTTCCAGCTACAAACCTGATTTGCAACATCACCGTCCCTGACCATATCGCAGCCCCCTCTGTGAACCACTCCCTAAGGTCACAGATCCACAGCTCAGCTCGGTCCCAGAAATGTGGAGCAAAGAGCTGGCCCGCAGCAAGCTAAGAAGGAAGCCCTTTGGTTCTGAAGTCCTTCTCAAACCCTCACCCAAGTTATCTCCTGTCTAAGGGACAGAGAGGACCAAACAGAATTCTAGCACCACCTCTCTAAATATAGTTCACATGGGTGATGGCAGTGGTGGGGAAAAAAATGTTCTCCCCTTTAAAATGTTGGACATGGAAACTATTTCTAGTATCTTCACAGCCCAGAGCTTTCCCAAATGTTCCTTCTTTGAAGTGTATCAGAACTACTGCAAATTATGAATATCTACTTTCAAAAACATGTAGGAACTCTGCATGCTACTTGGAGTAAAACTGTTGCTTTATTTGTTGTTATTCTGTCAAGCAATTAAAGAATAAAAGTATATTAATTATCACAGCAGTAGGATGCTGTAATAATCAAGGATTAAACACAATCTTAAACACAAAACAATTATTAAGATGTCTCATAAGAAAATAAGTAAGAAAACTGATTGGCGGTTAATATGAATATTAGGAGAAAACATGTTAGCTAGATGACTTCAGGAAGAAATCATGTTCTTTTTTAGCTAACAAAGGTTCTCAAATTTTAAATAAAAATACAAGCTAGAGAAATAAAGATTATAGTTCTGACTCTGCAAGGTTACCTGTGTTCCAGCATAACATTAAGCAAATCAACTTTGTGATTTGTGCTTAACTTTTAATTCCTTAATTCCACATAAGGCATGGGGTAATCAAGACCGGTATCTCACTTCTCCTCCGTTCCCATTGGTCAGTGAGCACAAATTAGTACTGCAAATAGTTAGAACCGGGACCACAGAAGCAATCCAGCAGCTGGCAGGACTGCAAAATTACTGTAAGGTAGCATTTTTAAAATGTAAATGCCAAAACTTATGATAAATAAGATTGTAATAGCTATTTCAACTTATTTTTGCATCTTGGAAATTCAGTCTCTGGTAGTAATTTCTGTCTTCGGTTGAAGAGTACTTTTTGTTTTTTAAAATTTGGCCATTTTGCATTGAGCTAACACTTCTATTTGGTAAACCTTCAGTTTCATTCTAGCTACTGATATCTTCTACTCTCACAATCCTGACCCTTTCCTTAAGGATTCCAAATTCTAAATTCCCAAGTCTGCAAATTCACTTTTCTGTTAACTGTGAAATAAGTCAAATTACAAGGCCTCATTGTCTGACTTCAAATCAGAGCAAACAAAAACACCGGGGAGGAGATATTTCCCTAAGGAAAGACAATAGTACTATTGTTTATTTTTATGCCTTTCTGAGAACTTTCATAAACTAACTCCTGATTCCCCATCTGCTGAACCTATAATTTAACTGAAACGAAAAAGGAATTCATTTTGGTTGAACTATTAAATATATTTAAATAAGGATCTTTTTAAGTTATTCTCAGATCTTTTGCTGTCTTTGTTTCCTTAGAGACTTTTCCCTGTTTGATTCTTTGGGTTAAGCATCGCCCCTTTTTGAGATAGCTTCATTTATAAAAGTAATGAAATCATTATCTTACCTTCATGTTTGGGAAAACATTCAGGGGAAAAAGAGGGGGAAAATACCCTCCTGAAGGGCCGGGTAAGTTCTCAACAGCAGGAAGAGTCCAGCAGGCTGCCTCCCTCTCTCACTTTCCCTGCTCGGGATTATTTTGGCACTCTTATATAGAGCTCTTAGTCCCAAGACTTAGGTCCTACACCCACTGAATTCTCCAGGGACACAAAGAACTTGACCCCTGTACTTAATCTGTGCCTTGAAGCCAGATGCATCTTATCCATTACACAGGCCTAAACTACCGCCAGCTGGGACTGCTTGGAAGCGACAGCTATGTTTCTCAGAAAAATATCTGTAAATCAGGAAAGACAGGAAATATCTTAGTTCAATGTTTAAGTGATTTTCAACCAAAAAAGACTCTGCATAAGGCAAGGGATAAGCCTCCTTCCTATTTCAATCTACTAAAGTAAGCTGATGTTTTCATGATTTTCTTAAAGGGTGTTATACAGCAGACTTTGAGATTAAACACTGGTGGAAGAAGAGAGCTAAATACAGGTCATGCACTCAAAATGGAAATGGAAAAAAAATGTAAATGGTATCTTCTGGAGTAGAATGTTCTTCAAACAAACTACAGCATAACACAACCCAATATCCATCCCTCCGTGCTTACCTTTCACAGAATAATCACAAAGAGAATCGCTTTTCGCAGACATGTTGGAGGTCCTTACTAATTTTCTCAAGAACTTCCCTGAATCCTTTGATTTTCAGATCACGCTGATGGGAAAGCTTTTCGTGATTTGTTTAGTATTCATTTTCTCTTCTTCACATGCGGCCTCGTCTTACCCTGCCAGACCTTCATTTGCCCATCGCTTTGCGTTGGTGCTAGCAGTTCTCCAACATCGCCTTCTTACATTTCATGAAACGCTTAAGTTTTTACAAGACTTCAGATTTGTTATTGTTATTATACTACAGTCTTATTTGCATTGTTTGGCCAAATATACTGACACTAGCTTCTAGCATGTTAGGATAAACTAAGTGTTAAGTGAGAAAGGAAATCTGCAAGTAATCTTTTTATTTTATTTTTTATTTTTTTATTTTTTTTTTGAGACAGAGCCTCAAGCTGTCCCCCTGGGTAGAGTGCTCTGGCATCACAGCTCACAGCAACCTCCAACTCCTGGGCTCAAGCGAGTCTCCTGCCTCAGCCTCCCCAGTAGCTGGGACTACAGGCGCCCACCACAACGCCGGGCTATTTTTTGGTTGCAGCCGTCATTGTTGTTTAGCGGGCCTGGGCTGGATTTGAATCTGCCACCTTAGGTCTATATGGCTGGCACCTTAGCCACTTGAGCCACAGGCGCCGAACCATCTGCAAGTCTTATGAGTAAACATATCTAAACCACTTGAAAAGCAGGGACAACTTCTGCTCTGCCCTCAAAAATTAATGATGGTTTTCAGAGACAAAGCTTCCATATTTTTTATTCAAACAATTTTGGCATGGAAAAAATGACCCCTGACTCTTGAAAGAAATACGTTTTATTCAACTCCAATTGCATGAATCCCACCTGGCATAGACTCTTCTTAAGTACTCTATGTGCAATTCCACAGTCAACAGTGGCTTAGTTTGGGCTCCCCCTTCCCCAAGAAGATTCAAACACAAGAATTTAATCTCAAGTAGTTTTTTTCTCTTTTTTAGATTAATATGAGGGTACAATTAGGTTACATTATTTGTCTTTGTAAGATAAAGTCCAAGTTGTAGTTATGATCTGCACCCAGGAAGTGTGTTGTATACCCCTACATTGTACCCCTTAGGTGGGAACTTACTGAACTCCCCCCTACTGCTTTCCTAAATTTATTTATTTATTTATTTATTTGTTTATTTTCTGAGACAGTCACCCTTGGTAGAGCACCGTTGCTTCACAGCTCACAACAACTTCAAACTCTTGGACACAAGTGATTCTCTTGCCTTAGCCTCCCAAGTAGCTGGGACTACAGGTACCTGCCACAATGCCTGACTATTTTTTTTTTTTTTTGGTTGTAGTTGTCATTGGTGTTTGGCAGGCCTGGACTGGATTCGAACTCACCACCTCCAGTGTATGTGACTGGCACCCTAGCCACTGAACCATGGGTGCCGAGCTTATTTATTTATTTTATTTTGAGACAAAGTCTCATTATGTCACCCTCCATAGAGTGCCATGGCATCGCAGCTCACAGCAACCTCAAACTCTTGGGCTTAAGCAATTCCCAGGCCCTGTCTGGGTTCAAATCCACCAGCCCTAGTGCATGTGGCCAGCACCCTAACCACTGAGCTACGAGCGCCGAGCCCCTTTCCTGAATTTAATTGTTTTTCTTTCACATGAGTATGTAGTTGTTAATCTATCTATTTCAACTTAGCATGAGTACATGCGATGCTTGCTTTTCCATTCTTGAATGTTCTTCAAACATTCATTCATTTTTGTATTTACAAAGTAAATACAAAAGATCCAAAGTCTCACTTCTCCATCTCCAGCAGGGCTTTCTGGGATCACCACTCAAAACAGCATCTATATAACGATGGAGAAGTGAGTCTGGGAAGGGAAGGAAGGCAACAAAGGGTAAATCAGAAGAGGACTGTGAACAATGGGAGCTCAGTCCCGGGGAGGAGGTCTGGGAGACACTGCCCAGCATGGGTATTTATCCACAAACACTCTGTCCATCATTGGTGAAAGCAGCTTTTTGACCCATGGTTCTCTGGCATTTCCAACCTGCCCTGGCAAGCTGAGTATTTGTTGACATTTACCACGTAGAGCTGAGTGCTGGGGTGATATGTGTAGGGCACCAACAGTGTCTGCTGCAGTTGCTTTTCATTTATATGTACTTATGCCTGTTCACTCTAAACTCGATGTTGGCTAGGCATGTATAATGTGATAGGCTAAAGGCTTTGACAGATAGAAGCTTTAAGCTATATCCTTCATTATTTTCATTTCTTACATACTATAAAGTAATTTTAGTATGACCATATTAGCACATTCATAGAGTAGCCTTAACCTAGAGGATGATTCAGATCTATCTACAATAATTTAGACTTGAATTATTTGGCTCAAGCATCCCACAGATTATTCAACTCTAAAAGGTTTACTGAAACTTCCTTTCCACAAAGGCCTTGCACATTTCCATCTCCACATCTCTGATCTCACATGAGTGCTTCTTCTGTTTGGGATTTTAATAGAGGAGCCATTAGAACAAAGGCACTAAACATAGACGGGAGCTGTAGTGTGGGAATTTTGACTGGCAGCGTGAACTGTGTGGACTTTATTCAAGGTCACTGGGAACTCATCCACTGGAAGTTTTTAAGAAAGAATCAAAGCAATGTATTAGGCCGAGTGAAGCAATGGAAGAGGTAAGAGGTGAAGAGGGAAGCGTGGTTTGGAATTTATTTTAGTAGTTCAGACTGGACCAATCGAGGGCATCACTTAAGAAGGCATAGACATATAGATAATATGGTAAAAAGTAACACTAGGCACTTCCATTGGCCTTAGCTCCTTACTACACTTCTTTTGCCATAAAATGTGTATCCCTTGGTCAGAAGCATATTGTATGTTATAAAAAGGGGAGGGGGGTGCAGACGAATTCACAAAGCTTAGTAACTTAAAAGTGGTTTTAAGTCTGATTGACAAAGAGAATTGAAAGAATTTAAGAATAATTTAAGAGAGGAGAAAAACAAGAAGAAAGAGGAAGAGATGGTTTTGTTGAGGGACATTTTTACTTTGGGGAAAGCATACAAAATATAACTGAAGATGCGGATCCCTTGGGGCAGAGATAGGCTTCCCCTGTATCCCTTGGAGAGGGATGTAGGAAGAGCCCCGGGCATAAAGCCCCTAACTGACGTCATGGAAGTAGATGTCCATTTGCTTCTTGAAATTGATCACAATGAAAGATAAAACCACCAGATGTGCCCCTGTTCAGGAAGCAAGAAGGAGAAACACCAAAAAGGAAAGAATGAGGTTACAGAAGGAGGAAGAAAACCAAAATAAATCAGCATCAAGATAATTCAGGAGAACTTCAAGACCATCTAACAATGACAGATGCCATGTGCAGGTCAATGGGAATGATTATTAAGGGAAGACCATGTTTCTTTTTTTTTTTTTTGAGACAGAGCCTCAAGCTGTCCCCCTGGGTAGAGTGCCATGGCTTCACTGCTCACAGCAACCTTCAACTCCTGGGCTCAAGCGAGTCTCCTGTCTCAGCCTCCCAAGTAGCTGGGACCACAGGCGCCTGCTACAATGCCTGGCTATTTTTTGGTTGCAGCCATTATTGTTGTTTGGCCGGCCTGGGCTGGATTCGAACCCGCCACCTTAGGTGTATGTGGCTGGCGCCTTAGCCGCTTGAGCCACAGGCGCCAAGCCAAGACCATGTTTCTTGACAATTAGGACCTTGTTGACCCCCTTGGGGCAGTCTTCCAAATTATTTTCCACAGGACTCTAGTGCTGCAAGACACTTGAATAAAAATAAATTTTGTGACTAAACAAGTTTAACATGTTTATATGACAGAAAAGTGTTTTTCTACCTCTAAACTACTGAGAAACTGAGAATTTTGGCCTGATAATTCTCTGTGTTTTGGGGGGGAGGAATGCTGTCCCATGCACTGGAGTGTGTCCGGCACCATTCTTGGACTCTGCCACTAGCTAGATGCCAGCAGCATCTTCCTCAGTCGTGACAGCCAACAATGTCTCCAGAGACTGCCAAATGTCCTTTGTCTTTCCCTCCATTGAGAACTACTGTTACAGTATCTGCCCCCAGCAAAAGCCCGGCCTAGATCCACAAAGCATAGTACACAGCACATTGTAAATTAAATGTTCTAAAAGTTCCACACCAAGTAAAACTTTTTAAATTTTCCCAAGTTAATATGACCTGAGAACTTGTATTTTTTGAAAGGTTACAGGGCCAAAGATGAAAGATTATTCTGAGTCTTGAGACGAAAGGCAAACGGAGTCACAGGTTTGTGTGATTAAAATGCCTTTATTCCACCTGGGTACAGGTAGGGTGAGATCTCCAACCTGGAAGAAGTCCACACGTGGGCAATGGCGGATGGTGGTTTTAAAGGTCAGAAAGGAGGGGTCGGGACATTGCTTTTCCTGGTTTGGACATCTGCTAGAAGGGTGGGGGTTGGTCCGTTTACCTTTCCTAGGTGGGACATCCGGTGGGAAAGGGTAAAGGGTGTGGGTCCACCCTATTTGGGCAGGGTTGGACTCTTTGTTTTGTCGTTGTTGTTGTTGTTTGAGA